GTCGCTTTTGAGTCGATTTATATTGGGTAGAGCTGCTTAACACACTTGGGATGTTGTACAGAATAATGATAAGCCAAGAATCCTATAGTCAATCACTGGAGGAAGGCCACTGTAGACTTCAGATTAAAGCCCGCAGACACTAATTTATCTGTCTTACCTAGAGCTGCCTACGTAAGAACTGTAAGATACATTTCTATCTATCAAACAGATACCCACTCACCTAGGATAGCTTATAAGAATGATACCAAATTTGTCAAATTACATCCTACGCATTGCATGGCAGTCCCATTCCTAGAAAACACTCGGGAAAGCACGACTAACTATGATCTATTTACAAAATCCTTAAGGTGCATGTTAGTATATGTTTCATAAAGCTGCAAAATGCTCAGTGCAGAAATCAAACAAGCGCAAGGAACAAGCAGTCAGGATATTAGAGGAGGATGAAAATGGAACAAAATTTAGATAAAGGAAATTTGTTATTTCCGTTGGCATAAAATGTATAGGGAAACAAACGCATATTATGATCATGGTAGAAAAATAAACAATTAAGACAACTGTTAGCTTTACAACAACCGACACCCTTTATTATAGTCTTTATGACTATTCCGAGTTACACATGCAATCCCATGTGACGATTAGAGATAATTAGGAACGACTAATTACTCATAATTATGACTATTTACTCTGATTTAATTGAGCTTTGCTATGGCTGGTTTCATATTGTTTATTGTCACTGTAAAATATTCCCCATAGCTTGTAAACTACTTAATAGTAACTTGACAAATTTGGAGAAACAGATAAATAGATAAATTAGTTAAATCATAGCCGTTCATCGACAAATGACGACTACGTAGACTGATTTAATTGAGATTTGCTATGGCTGACTTCATTATTTCTTGTCACCATTGAAATTTTCCGCAAAGCTTGCAAACTAGTTAATTGCATCTTGTTGAATTGGTAGAAGCAGATACGTTTGCATTAAATCACAACCATTCATCCAGTGTAATAATTCACCAAAACCTTGTCTTCCCGTTCGTAAAAAAAACAGCCAGCCCATTCAAATGATAACCTCTCGTCCCCCCACATAAAACGGCTGAATCGCCGCTACCAGCCCGTAAATTTCCCCAAAGATGCCAGGAAAAATAAACCCCTGCAAATTAATCCCCGTGAAATCTACATGCCTCGAAACCCGTAAAACGGTTTTATCGCAAATGACTGGCGAGAAGTCAAGCAATCAGATGACGTCCTTGATGTGTTTATACCCTTGACGGTGAGCCTCCCAAAATAAGCGGAATTTAACGACTCATAATAAACTCGCTGCCGAAGCCTCCTGGGTGTCATCTAAAACGCCCCGCGGTTATCATATGGAAAGCTGCAGAAGCGAGGCGGAATCCTGCCGCTTCATGCGCAGTTGGGAACCTAAGGCCTTGGGGGTAAACTCGGAAAACGTCAGCACACTTTACTTGGAACGTATCTGCCGTAATGATCTAGTAGGGGAATGCATAGGGAATACAGAAATGCGTGTACCTGGATTCGTAATATTTCCAAGATATGCTTTTGATATATACAAATTCCAAGGTCGACGTAGTTGTATCTGGGTACCTGTATATGATTGGCTTTAGGTCTTTTCTTTTTCGGTTCCTCAAAAATGATAAGAAATGATAGGATGAACATGATCACATCACTAATGTTAGAAATTTATAACTTAGCCAACCTGACTTAATTCAAGTGCAGGAAATTACCATTCATGCTCACGTAACCATCCTTTGGGCTAGCAACTAATATAATCATCTCCTATCAAGTAAGCGCAGGAGACAGATTACTTCATATAAGATATTGGCCGTGATAAGCAATCTTTCAGTTATCATTTAAGGGTCGCCCAAAGACTGCTTATTTACGATTCAATTAGTCCAGCAATTGGTTCTCCATCAAACCCCTTAAGGCTCGTGATTACGCAAGTACCGGTATAACTGTTACGTTCCTTTTATGGTTTTACTTTTACATGTAGTTCTATGCAAAAGCATGGATTTGTCTTGAACTTTCAAAGTGTTATATCATTGTGAGGGAAACATGAAAACCTAACCCAGATTCTTCGATCAATCTTCGCCGAGAAGACCGAGTAGATCACAACTAATAATCGCAAACGCCGCCATTATTCATTCCCGATAAGTAGAGGCTTTATCGCCTTGATGGTCGGAGGATCTGACCTACAGCGATCCTGGATGACACGTCAGCTCGAGCCGCTAAGGTAACCATGGTTACGCCGACCTGGCGGCCATCTTGTCGCCTGCAGAAGCTGTCAGCAGATCCAATTTCACGCATGGCCGTCCTCGCTGCGATGGGATCGTTGCCGGGGATCGCCGGGAGTCACACGTGTACGTTGTCGGCAGATTATCACCCAGCGCACAGGTCACAATGTCTGCAGGTAGCTGATGGCTTTGTTATCCGGCCCAAAGCGGACTATTGTGGTGCGGAAGAAGGGCTGTACGAAACAGCTTTGTGGAGATCTTCCAGGAGATAATTCATTCTACACTACTAGATCCTTCTCATTGGCACATTGGCATCGTAGACAGAAGGGGCCAACTATAAGTTACATATCATACCTATAAACATGCCAACATTTTCGGATGAATACACCCTTTTTTGCGTCAACGATTTTATGACATGTGACAAACTTGCCCTTCTGCATTTTTAAATGAACACATTGCAATGTAGATCAGGCTTATTAACAATAAGCTTCTTTAACACTGACTTTTAACTTTTGATTATATTTTACAGTGTCACCATGTCGGAATTTCTAGCAAAAATGGGCTTAGCGCATACGCCAAGTTACCCTAAGTCTATGGAAAATTCCCTTGGCCTGAAAGTTCTGACAAATAGTCAGAAGAGATGTATAACGATTTGCTTGTATCTGTAAGTCTCTTAGTGTTAGCTTTAAAAGAACCGGTAGGACTGCAGGGGACGGTACTAGAGTAGATAAAGAGAATAAACATTGAATGCAACATTGCTCGTTTCCTTGCGATATTTTCATCCACGTCTGGGAGTACGTAGATAGCGCGGCATTAAAGAAACCGTGATACAAAACCCCACAAGGCAGAATAAGTACTGTAGTCTCCGTCTCAGCTGGCGTCAACAGTAATTTTAGCTATCAAAAAAGTTCCGTCGTTCCACAAATTGTACTAGTGAAATAATACCCTAACTCCAACCAAACAATAGCAACAAGACAAACCACATCAAGGCGTTTGGTGTTTGATACAAATAATAGCCATGCTTTTTGTTCCTTAGGATTGAGGAGAAAAGGGAATAATCTATCATTAGCTATAGACCCAGCAGACCTGGTAATTAGACTTTAAAGGCGTAGCAAGAAACGGTTCATTTCTCCCAAATTGGTACACAATTGGTAGATACTCCAATTCCTTCTAAGTAAAAGGCAGTCAGCGTTACATCGAGCAAAAAAATCCACTCAATCCATTCGTTAATCAATACTTCCTTTTTAGAAAATGACCCCATTTAGTTGGATTCACACCAAGTAACCGAAAAGTCAGGGTGGGGCGCGGGCTGTCAGTGTGTAGGATTGGTATCGATAGCCATATGAGCTTTGGAGCTTTAGTTGTTTCAAAGGGCGAAATAGTTCGTGAATGAGCTCCTCAAGGAGGAAAAGGGGAGAGATATTGATAAAAGATTATTTACGAAGATGTGGCAAAGCTTCCACCATCAGCATTAAACAATCGGCATGGTTTAAGATAAAGTTTAGTGCCATTTGATGGAATGCTACATCTAAGCTCAGAGTACATCAAGCTGGCAGTGGTACGGGATTTACAGTACGCAGTTAGTTTCTTGCACTATCGTTGCTGTTTGTTCAAGCTTAACATAATTCCTCAGTCTTCCTTTAGTGCTTCATCCGTGGCAAACTATTCCCTGAGTTATGTGATATCATGACTGACTTGAAAAAATAGCATCATAAACATATATAGCTTAGTACGAGGAAATAACCGCCTAGGGACAGCTAGGGCTTCGTGAAGTTAACGTAGAAGGAAGCTGTGGATATCGCAGTGAAGAAGATTAACAATAAAAACTATATAACCCACCCAATGCGTAGTTGGCAACAGAACAGACAAAAATCGCCAATCCCAAAGTTATGATTCACACAGAGAGATTTTCATAAATTTAGTAACGATTCTTCTGACTACTTCCTGAATAGAAATTGCCACTTTCTACAGACGAAACGAGGTGTCATTAATTACAAACCCAAAGCTCAGGGAGGCATAGCTTCTGCACGACAAGCCTGCGACAAGACCGACCGCCCGTATCGTGTACGTGCAAAATTTAATAACAAGAGATTTTTTTACTCTTATTGTCCACTGAAAGTCCTGAGACCACACCGAATCTTTCATCAACGAATCACCAAAGATTTTTGGCAATACCTTTTCACCAAAGAATCACAAAACAGTGACGTGGTTGAAAACATATAGCTATGAACGCCAGGGGTCCTCCTGCTAGTCCAATAACTACAAATCTCTGCTAGTTGCTGTTTCATAGGTACTGAATATTCTGGCGTCATGCATCGCAAGACTGATCTTTAGCGTTGAGTAAAATGCGGCATATGTTACGGCATGTCGGAGTCACAGGCGTTTTACCTTGAAGTGGAAAATATGGCGTGTCAGTATTAATAATCTGTGAATGACTAGGAAGTCACGGGGTATGTCACGTGCACATCACGTGTATGTCACGTGCCTTAGTCGTGAGGGCAAAGGACGATGATAATGATAACTATCAGTACCGTCGATCGGTTTGTTGTGAATAGGATTATTAGGTTGTCAGGTAAAAATAATTGATTATACACGTACATCACATAGGTGTATAATTACATATACAATCATATACATATCAAATTTGCAAACTTCTTTGACACCAAATAAACAGCTTGTACTAGTAGTTGATCAGACCGATTTGATGTCAACAAATGGTAAATACACTTTCTACCAACAGCTGGTGCCAAACCGAAGGCGGCAGTCATGGTGTTTATCCACCCCGGGTATTTTGAGGAAGGTGCGGGCAGCATGTACGACGGTAGCGCCATCGCGAGCTGGGGACAAGTCATCGTCGTCACCTTCAACTATCGGCTCGGTCTACTGGGTAAGTAATGACAGTAATTACATGCGTGCTTCCGGTGTACTGCATTATGGGTAAGAAATTGTCGCTGCCATATTGAATGAGAATGCAATAATGAAGAAACATATACTAGTAAAAGTAGTATGATCTTAATGGGCTGTTGTAACTTCAAGTTGCTTGGAATATTACTTATATCATTTTAATATCGTGACCTTTGCTTCCCTGTAAGCAATGAATACCAGACTGCTCTCCAAGCAAGAGGCTGTTGGGGAAGATTGTGACCTTTCTATCATATACCTCGTTTTCTGTCTCTACTCCATACCAACCTGTGCTTGGACTAAGGACTTAGCAGACTTAATACTTACACTAGGTGCTCATTTTTAAGTAGCGGTTTCTATGTATAAAATGTAATGTACAAAAAAGGAAAACAATGTTGCAAATTCAGTAGACTGAAAAGAGAGATGCCAAATACATACTTTGGCAAATTCTAAACTTATAGTGGCTATTGTGAAGACAACAAGAGCATTTGTGCACACGTTGCCTGAGGTAATGATGACATGTCATTAATGCATCTGGAATTAAAAGCGGTTATGGCAATAGGTCGTCAACCCGCTGTTATATGACTGTTTATTGACAAGTTCAATGTCGCAAATGGGCAACCCTGGCGGCTTCAATAACAAGGTCACTCTTTCTGATTTCCCCGCGGTTCGTGGCGCCAAACAATACTCTTTTCCTCTTTGATTAAAGACCAGTCCCTCGGGAGTACCACAACCCTTTACTTTTATTGTTGATTTCACGTCTCTTATAATTCGTATCGATTCCACTGGCAATAGACGACTTTTATCATCCATAATACTCTCCGAGGACCGCATCTAAACGTCAAATGTAACCTACACCTTCTGGCGAGTCAACGTGGTAAAGAAAGTATTGCAAACATAATGAAATTGTCCTTTTTATTCGTCTTCCCTTTGTGCCATAAGGACATTTTCTCCGAGACCTTTGCGAGGAGGGTCAAAGTAATGTGATAGTAAACGTCTCATGTGAGGAGTGTGGCGTGTCACTGACTGTATTCGTTATAGGTTAGCTGATAAGAAAATGATCAGTTACGTTTTTCCAACGGTGTGAGTAATAAGGGTCTTTACAGGCTATGGTCTCTACTACTTGGCGGTTAATGGAAGGTAGTCATTTGTATGCAGATCAGGTGACTGTATACCCAACACGTACGAACCTACCATGCATGCACATGTATACGATGAACAAGCACTCGTCAAACCAACAACTATTAATATCTTACGGGTATTTTAGATTACTCTATTTTCGTCCGATCGTGTTAGACTTTGGACTTTATTACTCAACACGCACTAACCTACCATGCATGCACATGTATACGATGAAAAAACTCATGAAACCAACAACTATGAACATGCCCTGCATATCACAACAAATCTTATGAGGATTTCGGGTTATTCTATTTTTGACCCAACATGTAGATGTTGGACATTATTAGTCAACACGAGCCTACCATGTCATGTATACAATTAAAAAACACCCGCGAAACCAACATTATCAGCATTCTCAACAGCAAATATTACGGCCGGGTTAGTCTATTTTCATGCCAACTTTTGCACTTCAGATGTTATTGCTTCATTTCCACTTGTAATTTCAATTTACCATCTACAACAATTGAATCCCTACCAATATCCGAGGGGAAATTTGTAAATCGAATTTTCTTGGCTTACAGTAATGCTACAATCTATAGCATGCACGGTGCTACAATTGGCCTTGAATACTAAATATGGGAAATCCCGGCTGTTGTCGCTCACCCAACACGCACGTTCCTGGAAAGCGTCGCAGTCATAAGGGCGGGACGTTAAGCTATGGTCCATCGTTCATTGTGCTTGTCGAAAAGAGCTAGGGGAATTTCCCCCTACAGAAACCTGTAAATACTGCACGAGTACATAGCGTCTGTCTTCTCTGTCACGACCAGTGGTAGATTAGCTCTTTAGTGAGCCCAAAATGGGTCCAGTTCACTTCCCTTTCCTCACTATTATAAAGTGCGACAACGTTTTCTGCAACACCGGGGGATACTGTTTGGTCTGTTGCCAAACCTGGTCAACAGCTCCAGCTTACCCCGCCGATGTGATCCAGTACTCAGACTTATTAACCCTGCTGTCCGTTCCCAGGGTTCCTCAGTACGGGGGAGGACAACGCCCCGGGGAATTATGGGCTTTTGGACCAGATTGCCGCCTTGACGTGGGTGAAGCAGAACATCGTCAACTTTGGAGGAGATCCAAACAATATCACCGTGTTCGGGGCAGAGGCAGGCGGGACCAGCATCAATCTTCTGGCATTGTCTCCCAAGGCAAAAGGTGAGGGAATCGTACGTGCGAAAGGATTGGCTGCACTTAACTATGAATACACATGAAATGAAAGGTACTGGTTTTGGTCTGGTTGATGTTTGGGTGTATATCTCAAAAACCTTAGGACGGAATGGGATGGTATTTAGCAGGTAGGTAAGTGGGGGTGAAGTAAAATGTGTAGGTCGATTCTGGACACCTGGTGATTGATCTTGGTACTGCAGTTGGGCTTTTAAAAACATCTTTGGTGCTGGATGGTGTGTGGACGTGAAGTTTAGGTGACATATAGCTGTTGATGTAAGATTTAGTGGTGACTGGGGAAAAGAATAATTAGTCTTTTTGCCTCAATTGAATCTTCTCAAAATCACTCATTTCATGGATGTATAGAATCTCCGAACTCTTGTTTTTCTCTGACGTGGCTCTTTTAGCACTGCTCAATGATACGGCGATTCGCATCAGAGCAACCTTGGTCAGGGCAATTGAAATTAGCGCCGAGAAATCAAGTAATTTACTCATTTCAATAAAAGCCATCTTACAATAAAGCATCTGTATTAAAGAAATGAAATGAAAAATTAACGACTCGTCCTTCCTATGGCTCATTGACTACTTGAGGATTCACTCGCATTTGAATGTCATCAGCATGGAGACCGTAGCTAAGAGTGTGGTGAAGGAGGTAGAAATACCAAACATTAGAAAGTTAAAGTTAAACATTCTGGTCAAGTTTCAGAAAAGTAGGTTTGAGAAATATCTTGTATTTGCCATCAAATCATGGCCATTTTAATGTCCCATCAAATGTAAACACAAATTTAAGCAGCCTATTGAGATCTAGCTAACAATGTCCTATACGGTTAACGGGCAGAAATTTAGGACATGATTCCGCCAAAATAACGATCTTTTTCCCAGTCTCAGCTTAATTTGGTTTTTATAGGTTTGACGCTCTTGGCGGTGGTGTTAATTTTACGACATTGTGGTAAGAAAACGTGACCATTTCACCTATTTACGCCCTCTCACTTAACGATCCTGATAAAACAAATATCATAATATCCTGTTTTCGCGATACTGTACTCGTAACCTATCTTACGATCATGATAAGATCTAATCCGCCTTTGTTTTAACGACTTAGTTGTTAAATTTGGGCGGAATGGTGTCTTGAGAAGGGTTATTGGAAGGAGTCTTACTTACAGGTCACTGATGCGGGTCGACTTGATAAGTCGTAAAGATTTCAGCACCCCTGGAGACAACAGAATGGCAGGTTTATTAGTTTGCCCTACATCGGAGCTTTCTGATGCGGATGCGTCCGATGGGAGCCGATGGAACCTCATCTATCAAGCCCCGCACAACAGAACTTAATCTAAGTAGTAGGACGACACATGGGACGCTACCTTAATTGCACATTAGTTGTGTGTGTTGGGGTTGGGGGAGGGGTGTGATTGGTGCATCGTATTAAAGAGTCACTGAGTTTCATTGAGTTTAGCCGTCGGTAGTTGAATTACGCCATGCGGTAAGAAACAAAGCTAAGCGGTCTGATGATTCAGAGGCACTACATCCATCTATGAATGAACACACACCACAAATAATACATTTTAAAAGGCAGTCTATTCGTTACATCAATATCCAATAGCTATGGTGCTGAATCTTCCTCACAATTTCTTTACTCGTTCAGGTCTCGAAATACCACATGCATATTTATATACAGATACATGTAGGTGTGTGTGGATTTTTATTCACTGCATTGACTGACACCATCTCTAAAAATAATGGCATTAGCTTCTGAACAGTTTTTGGTATGATCCATACTTCCTAAATTCTAAGTGGTGCAGGTAACATGTCTCTGGTGCAGATAATTTTCAATGTTACCTGCAGCAGTGCAGGTATGCACAAGAAAGTGTATTTCGAGCCCTGTCGTTAGAGTTAGCCACAATTTCCAATGACAGTCTTTAAGCCTTGCTTTCACAGCTTCTCGTAGTTAGACAGCGCCATCATTATTCTCCCTAGCCTTCCTGGAACTGTCTCACAGTGGGTAGCGATTCGCAGAATCCACAAACTCATCGCATAATTGCGTTTTGACGAGGTACGACCAGAGAGGGAGTTGAAACCTGTGAGTTGTAAACGCACGACGTCTTCCCCTAATGGATACTAAATGGATGTGTGTTACGGCTTACATGGGACTTACCGCTCCCTTTGATAGAAAATCTCTGGCACGGCGAGCAACGATAAAAGGTGACGTTACAGATGATATGGCAAATGTGCTGTTGCTACCGTGGCTTTCAGGTCTTCGGTAAATGAGAGTGCAATTTGTGGTTGTAGTTAGTTACAGAGATTACGATGCCTCTTGCCGCCTTCAATACATGTAGTAATTGACGTTCAGCCTCCTGTAGTGATCACACCATTTGGTACATTATAATTATAAACTGGCGCTTTACGGTTTCTTGATAACTTTTTTCTTGTTTTGAGGTTCTTCCCACACCCTTCTTTTTAACGCGTTTTATGCTTGTCTTTCTTGAATTTCTATAGAAATAGAAAGACCTGCCTGATGAAGTTTTATCAAAAGATTCACTTACTTTGTCCGTTAAGCTAAGCAATGTGGCACAGAGAACTAGACAACTCAGTAGAACTTTCATTCCAGTAAAGCAATAAGTTGTTGTTTTCGTGGTCCCCACAGGTCTCTTCAGAAGGGTGATCATTCAAAGCGGCTCTGCCCTGACGACTTGGGCCCTGACGTCTGAACCCTGGCGGTCAGCCATCACCGTGGCCTACAAGATGGGCTGCTGCCGGAGCAACTTAACCGAGATGATGGAATGTCTCCGCAGTATCGATGTCGACATCCTGACCGGGAGCGTGGTGCGCCGCCCTCCCTACTTCTCCATGTTCGGTCCGAGGTACTTCTCTCTGTTCGGCCCGGTGGTGGACTATGTCGTCATCACGGACAACCCGAAGGCACTCATGACATCCGCCGATAGAGACAAGAACAACCTCTTCAAGAGCTACGATCATCTCATAGGAGTGAACGAAGACGAAGGGTTTGGTTACATCGAAACATTTCCGGGTGTAGACAATTATGGCATAGGTAGGGAAGGGTTTACCTTCATTATCAACGATTTCGTCAACAAGGTTTACCCCGACAGGGAAAACGAGATAGAGGACGCCATTCAGTTCATCTACACGAACTGGGGACAGAGTGAGAGCAACGAAACGCGCAGGACTGGCATGGTGCGCATGTTTACGGAACAGCAGGTCGGCATGCCGGTCGTGAGCGTGGCAAACCTTCACTCCTCTGGTAAGACGACGTCGGGGACGTACTTCTACACCTTCAACCACCGCATGACGTACGGACGGAACCCTGCGTGGGTCGGAGCGGCGCAGCAGGAGGAGCTCCCGTTCGTGTTCGGCGCGCCCAACATCGGCGGTGGCGTCTACAGTAACATGAACTACTCCAGAGCTGAATCTATGCTGAGTCTGGCGATCATAACGTACTGGTCCAACTTTGCTAAGTCAGGGTAAGTACAGGAAACCGCGTTTATGATTATGGGATTGTTTATCCATTTCCTGTCCCAGTTTTGTAAATACAAGCCTTTTGAACGCACGGGAAACCAAGGCATGCTACTGTTTATCATATATTTGCATCTTGACAAAGAATACATGTATGACCTTGATAAACTTATTAACAGAATAGAAGTCTCCTAGATCCTCACTCCGTGCGTAGGGCCTAGGGACTGTCTGGTAATTTTAAATCTATATACTAGGAAACATGCTGCCACGTTTTTTTTCGATTATGCAGTGCATACATACATGTCTACTAGTACTAGTTAGCTGGCAAAACGTTATCTTTTGTTCTTGATTAGGCCATGTTGATTTGATTACTAGTATATGGATGACATCCGCGCGCGCATGAATTTTCGGCCGTTTACAAAAAAAAAAAAGTTTTCAACCATACTGTAAATTGTACAAAACAGTTGCAAAATGAGCAAAAATATACCATAAGTTACAAAAAAAATTAATAAAAACTATACCAATGTCGTAGAATGCCAAAATCAAACAAAAAAGACGAAATTATAAAGAAATGAACTTGAAGACTAGATTATTCGCCAAACCATATTCTGTGCCATTTGCTCAACCCTCATGACCACGTAGATTTCATAATGAAAAGAACTTTTTTTTTTTTGCAAAACTTTTTTTTATTCGCACGCGCGCATCAGTTTTGGGGCTCCCGGAGGATGTCATCCATATAATCAAATCAACATGGCCTTAATAGTGTCGAATTATACAATACAAGGATCCTAAAAACAAAGTGCACCAAAGTTTTTGTTTATCTGACGGTTTTAAAGAGTACAGAATGATTATATTATGTGCCTTGCATTGGTCCCTCCTCACAGAGATCCCAACACACCGATCCCACAGAAGACGTGGTTTGCGCATGAGCGGCCCAACCGGTTTGAGAACATCAAGTGGCCTCGTTATGATGCGGACAAGCAAGGGTTCATCTACCTGGGCATGAAACCGAGGGTCAAGCAGGTGAAACACGCTGTTCGCTATTTTTTTAAAACTAAGGCCATGTTGATTTAATTATTTGGATGACATCCTCTGGGAACCCCAAAACTGATGCGAGCGTGCGACTAAAAAAAGTTTGTCAAAAAAAAGTTGACCTCGTCATGAAGTCTGCGTGATCATGAATGTTGAACAAATGACTGAACACACAGAAATGGGGAATAATAGACAATTCATTTTCATTCCTTGACATCTTCTTCTTTTCCTTAGGCCATCAACATGGCCTAAGAAGGAAAGTAGAGAGTGATTGAATGCAGATAGAAGAAAATAGGAAAGATTATGAGAACAACGGATGAGAAAATTGCAGGAATGGGGAATGTAAAATCTCCAAGCAGAGTCTATGGGGCAAGGGGAGTCTAAATTGGACTCCTGTAACCATTGACCGAATTTTCTTGGAGATTAGGGAACGTATAGATGGATATAAATTGTTTGGTTTAGGCTCAATGCAACTTCAATGTCTTGTAGTAACCGTACCATCCGTATTTTAGTAACATCCATCACTCTTCTTCAGCGTCACTGAAATGAACTGAGAGAACAAGTTGACACTGATTACATGTGAACGAACAGGATGAATCAATTGTACATGACAAGATCCTTGTTTATGTGACTCGATATAACAAGTGAAGTAAACTTGATGTTAATACTGTTGGTGCCATTCCCACAGGGGTACAGATCCCAGCGCGTGGCCTTCTGGGCGGAGCTCATCCCGAAGTTGGTGAAACATCACCCGGTCATCAGAACCCTCGACTCGCCAGCAGACGTCACTGAGATCTGCATGAACCTCCGTAGCGGCAACAGTCCCACAGACACGGCCATAACCAGAACTCCTTCGAACTGGGGAAGGTTCCCGGAGGGGGGACCCAGGTCCACCTGCCCTCCCCAACCCGAGAAAGACAAGAACAAGAAGCCGACGACCAAACCGTCGTCTAACTGGGGGGTCGGCTTAACCTCGTACAACGACCCGACGAGTGACCACTTCTCGGGAAAGAGAACCTATTCCAGCGAGCTGAGCATCGTTATATCAGTAGGGGTGACTTTACTCGCGCTGAACCTCGTCGTCTTCGCGGTCTGTTATAAGAAACGGGGGAAGAGACGAGCAAGACACCAGGGCTCGGTCACGACATGCGCCTTCACGGACTCCAAGATAAGCCTCAAGGTCATCGAAACACAGGAAATGGCGATGTCACACCGAAAGGATTGTGGGAACACGTTAGAAAAAGAGCATTCGTTCGCGTCTATAGAGGGTCCCGTGGGAACAGACATAGAAGAGTACAAGGAAACGCTACCGTTAGGCGACAGACACCCCGCGGTGCTACAGGACAGTCGCCTGATAGAGATGGGACCGGTGAAGGACTTCTCTGTTCTTGAAGAAATCTGTCCCCAGTCCTTACAGGCACAGGAATGCCGCATTATCAAACTGCAGGAGGTTCCGCGTAAGAAAAATGGCTGCCAGCAGATCGTGTGACGTGAGCACAACTTGCGTGACGTGTGCACAACTTGCGTGACGTGAGCACAACTTGCGTGACGTGTGCACTACTTGTGTGATCTGTACCTGTGGCTGCCTTCCCCACTGCACGAAATCCTACCTTCAAGCACGCCTTAAACATGCGTAAACGTACGCACAGAGGGGGAAACGAACCTTTACACAAGCTTTAAGGTGTGCATAGAGAATGGATTATGTGCAGTGCCCCTGCACAAATAGCATTCATACTTATCATAAAATTACGTAAACAACCATGTTGTTCGCTGACTGATGATGATGTAAAGGATGAGCCTTTTGCCACGGTTATTTTTCTTGGTTCCTCGCTTTCGTGACCAAATATTTTCAGCGTCATGATTAAATGATAACTCACAAAGAACATATTTCAATCTCTATATCAGGGCCAGAACAAATTAGATGTTTTTGTGACTTCTGTTGATGGGTACGATTATCATCGAAGATCTGTAACGTATGGTGATAATTGTGTGTTCGTTATTATGGAAATTTCAGCGTCCCTTATGTCATATATGCATACAGGAGGTAAGGCTATATCCCGCCGTATCGGTGGCACACATGTGTTTTTCATTCCAGTCCAATTCGCCTTCTTATAAACGTACTTTTGTAAATACATCTGTAGGCTTCCGCTGGAACGTACGTACGTTTAAGATCCCCTTAATAGAGTCAAGCGAACGACAAATGTTTTGAAAAGCCACGTATCTATGTTCTATATGTAACGTCGTTGTCATTTCAAGCACATCAGACCAGGTAGAGTTATTGTAGGTTGTAATATTTGCCTGTAGTTGTCAAAGTGATCTGAAACCTCAGTGCCTAAACGTAACTGGGGAGCTTGAGTCGGGAACATCTCATTGTAAAAACAAAAACAAAATAAGTTGTTTGGAATTTCACTCATGAGACGGTAAATTTTGGTGCATCAGATACAAAAAATACATGAAGAAGATAAAATACAAAAAGTCGCTACGTGCCTTAAAGATCAGAGATCACACCATAAGTTAAAGGGAAAATCAGCAAAATTCTGTTGGTTATTATTTGAGCACAAACCGCAGTTACTTCGGATGAATATGTAAGGACGGATAGAGAGAAAAGGGGATATGATTACTTGAATATCAACGTATTTCTGTCAAATATCTATCAATCACAGAGGAAGTGGGACTGATATCTAGTACCCTTTTTGATCACTTGAAGCATAAAGAAGCCACATTACATGTATACCCGGAAAATGTCCATATTATAGCTGTATTAAGAGAGGCTGATAGCTTTACAATTATTTTGCCCCCATTTTAAATGTTTCAAAGGGTCCCTGAAGTAAGTTTGTGAATTTGTATTGTCCCAATCACTTAGGAAGAGCATCAAGCATTTGATGAATACTGTACATTTGGTTACATCGCAAGTGTGGAATAAGCGAGATAGAATGTGCAGCATACGAATATCCAGAAATAGTACAGATGTACGTATTCTTGCGTTTGCAAAGTTCGATGTCAGAAAATGTCTGTTCTTACTGTAAATGAGGTAATTTTATGCCTGTTGCATCTGTTGTATCATCCTGTTTGTACAGTAAAACAAGAAATGTTCGTGACGACCAGAAAGATGTGTTATCCGTAATAAGTATGATGTTTACTGTAAAAAAAAGAAAAGATTTCACAAGTGCTTTCATCTTCAAGTAAAATCGTACGTACTTCTCAAAACCGATTTTTCTGGCAGTCCTTTTCAACTTTGTACATATAAGGATGTTTTAATACTTAGTTACATAGTTTCTTAATTTGTAGTAGATGCTCTGGGCTATTTGTGACGTAATTGTTGTTTCTGGACACAAATTCCCATTTCCCCTATATGCATGCCTTTTTTATAGCAAGCGATTTGTGTTCACCTATGAACAATTTTAAAACATACACAATAGTAATGACAACTTTTTCCATGCCATGGCGTATGCTACAGATGTTGTTTTATTCTCTTCAATAATGCTTAGGCCATGTTGATTCTATCATATGAATATTCGTCCGTTTCCAAAAACAGTTTTGACTATACAGTAAATCATACAAAGCAGCAGCAAAATGAGCAAAGGATATGCCGTAAATTGCACAAAAAGAACATTGGAAACGATACTTATGTCGTATAAAGCCAACATCAACTCCAAAGAAAAAGAAAAAAATGTGAACAAAGTTGAAGAGTATCATTCGTCGTATTGTGTGTTTATTCATTCGTTCAACCTTCATGACCACATAGATTTCATAATGAAGACAATTTTTTGACAAATTTCTTATATTCGTACGCTCGCATCAGGTTTGATGTTCCCAGAGGATGTCATCCATATAATCAAATCAACATGGCCAACTGAAAAAAAAGACACAAATTTCTACGCCAAAAATCGACGTCTTGTCTCACCAAAACTTCACCGATCCTAGGGCCCATATCCCCAGGATTGATGCATGTAGTTTAGTTTAAATCACGTTACCCTTACACCTCATACGGCAGGGGATATATATGAGGCGATCTAAATACAGACAGGAGTATCTATTGAAGAAGAAAAACTAAGATTAATACATAAATCAGCCTTCTGCCTACTACTTTTATCTGCAGCAAACGAGAATCCAATTGAGAAAGATTTTCTCATTGGTGACTTGTTATGATACAAAACCCTACCAACAGTTTCTTCATCAACCCCTGAGGATATAAGCTGGGTAAAGGGTAGGTCAAGATGTCAGACAGTACATTTTATGATGTCGTTAGATCGAACCATCACTTACCGTGGCGTTTGGCACAAACTAATGTTGCCATTTTCCTTTATGGCCGGCGGCCTGGACAGACTGGTCGTGAAAAACTACCTATTTCAGTAGAATGGGGAGATTTTATAGAGTCTAACTCAATCAATAGTTCAGAATGGCTTCAAGTTAGTTTTTTTTCCTTTTGAAATGGGGAAGGTTACTGACTAAACTACTGTAAGATCTCGAAGTTAAATCAACCCGTTGACGGCGGCTGTTCACTGTAAGAATCCTTTCTGGCGGTTGCCTGCGGGCGGAAAAATCGCCTCAACAATCTTTATTGTAACCAAGAATAAGTATAACTGCATGTATATTTTTTGAGCATACTTTTATAATAAATTTTAAACTGAACACAACAGTATTAGATTATGCTATACTAGGAATTAACATGCTGAAAATTCGTTACCAAGGTACTGTTTTTGCCGCAAAAGTTTGGACCAAGTTTGAATACAGCAGGCTTCCATGTTGGCCATTTCTCAAAAGGAGTTCAGTGCATACACCAATTGCCGTTTGCATGATCTTGAGTTCACCGGGGAGACCTATAGCTACTTCTCCCAAAATGTCACTGCTTGGATGAAGAATGAATTTGCCATTATTCGGTGATCTACATGCAGTGACACGTGGGGCACAGGTTATTTGGAGTAGGCGTAGTAATAAGTGTCGCATGTAAAGAACGATATATTTCTTTAGAAAAGGGGCAGCGGTCATGAAATTAAAAACAATTCTCAACTTTTTTCTGCAAGGGATCTACTAAGTAAAAACATAATATTCGGGCTTCCGAGTAGAATGGTAAAAAAAAGAACCGCTATGCCTTTTCCTTTTGTGGCTAAATTGGTAAGATTATTCTAACCCTAAACTTAGATAGTATAGATCCAAGCCCAAAATTCTATTGCTTTTTTTGAGACCGCATTATTTGCAGTAACGCCTAGCTTCAGTGCCGAGTGAAAAAATCGCACCTAGAGCTCCAGTATCCAGTGAATCAGTCATAATTGCCCTGATGAACATGACAGACGGTCTTCGAAACGTCATGCCCTTGCTAAACAAGTGGTTGTGAAGATGCAAAAAGTACCTACCACAATGTAGCCACTACCATGTATCTATTTCTTTAATTGAAAAAAAAAAACACGTGTGACCTTTGTGCTATCTTAGTCACAAAGAAAGCAATGGACCAATCAACGGCCATTAGAGCATAACCTCCACTACGAAGGTAATAAATCCTCCAGTCATTCCACCCCACCCAAGTCGGAGGCGCGTGCCCTTTTAGATATTGCAGTTTCCAATGACTAATCTTACATCAATATATTTAGAAGAGCCGATGGCCCCATTCTGACCTCACGGTCAAATCTAATCTCGTTGGATTTTTTCCACCTAAACAGCCTCGTCGCCGCCGGCTTAAACCTTCATCATCCTCCTTAGGCTGAGAAACCTCCTCAAGACGGGGCAAGGAGGTGACGAAGTGTTTATTGATCCTTTAAAGGTACCAAATGCAGATTTTAGTGCTTAAAGAACAGAGTTTTTTTCAAACTCAATATTCTAGTGACTTATCTTCATATATATTAGTAAGTTGAAACAATTCAACAGTATGTATATCGACAGTTAAGGTATAGCCTTTTGAGACTGACTGACAGTAGTAGTGCATTTCACACAACATACACACATAGACACATAACATCAACAAGGGGACACACAGAGAAAAAATAATTCACAGATCCATGGTAAGAAACGTAAAGCGGTGTGACATGTAAAAAGTACAACAAGCTGTACACCATCATCATCATCGTCGTGCCAGAAACATAATTTACGGTGGTACGTGACAAAACAAATATGGTTGACATTTCTTGACGTCACAGGTTCATGTGTACGTCTCGTTCCCATGTACCCTACTGTCCTCTTACACAACTCTGAGACCTAAAAATAGCTGCAGGTCAGTTTTCCCGTCCAGCGGACTCACACGGAGCCCCTCCCTCAGTTAACCCGGCCCGCTATCAATCAGGGATCAATCGATCTCCACAGTAACTATCCCGGCTTTTAATTTTCCACCCCGAGAGCAGAGCCTGGTCTGCTTGGCTGATCTCAGTCCACCAACATTCATCTCATCTGATTGCCCTGTTTCCCCCCCAATCAGAAACCTGTGGGTCGGCTGTCCTCGGAGGAGTTTGTGCGATGTAATGGTTTTTAGCGGTCGGTGTGTTCAGTTTCCCGCTCAGCCTTCACCCCTTTCTGTTTACTTGATAATGGGTGCTTTTAGACCTCATTCACAATTATATGCAAACTCCAGTGTCAGTAATTTTAGCTTCAAGTTGACTTTGTTTAATCAACCACCATCATGATTTGTTGCCTATGTTATTTTATTTTTATAGTATTATTTGTTATTAACCATTTCCGCTTGTTGACGAGTGCTAATTTTTCTCGTTAGGCTTTTGTTTAGTCGACCTTTTATTATTTGTTATAATTTTAAAAAAAATGTTAGTTATTTTATGCCTGGG